TTTAATTTTTAGCCTTGCCTCTAATCGGTTGCTCTGTCTACATGCTTAATCTCTGTCCTATTTCCTCTGTATAAAAAGAGAGCAATGTAGTAATCTATTTCTATGGCTTTTGTTTTTAATGAAATTATCAGTCTTCTTAACAATGAAAAGTGATTATATCATTTCATTTGTTGTATCAAATATTAATTAAATGTCTAGCACAAACTACGCACTATATTAAAGTTCAATTCAACTCTTACTAGAGACCTGTCCTGGTACCTACATGTGGAACTGTGTGTAGTTCTCCATCTCAGCATGAAAGAAAGAGCAGGGATAAGATCCATATATTATGTGAGACATAATCCCAACAAATCATTGCAATCACTTTGAAGAATAAATATATGTCTCTCTTTTTTTACAGTTGAGGAACCTAAAGCTTAGTTATATTAAATAACTGTTCACGGGTATGAAACCATAATATAAAAAAGCCAGGATTTGAATTATGTGCTACAAAGTCTAAACCCAGGCCCCTTACATTGTAGTTACTGTTGTTAGGAGCAATGATAATTGTTCTTAACCTGATATTGATAGATTCAGCCTTCTGGTACTTGCTGGAGCCCTAGTTTACTACAACTGATTTGTAGTGCTTCTTGAAAATATTTCTGAGTCTTCCATTGTGTGACATTCTAAATTTCCCCTGACTATACCTTCCACCCCTCCTGTTAGAGTACCATGTTGGACTTACCTTCTGTAGCAACCTTAGCTGTGATATCCCCTATCATTTTGAAATGAACACCTTGTCTCAGAAATCGCCACCTATTCCAGGATTCTTAGCCTCCAGGCAGGCATTGATACTAAGAACAATTTTAGTGATCACCCCAAGATGTTCATTCAAAGTAAATAAAATAGTACTCTTACCCTTGAATGTCTCAGTCTAATAAGAGAGAATAGCATATAATTACCAGCATAGGCAGTGCACTATCTGAGGCATAGGATAGGAATTCCTTTCATTTACCTGTTTAGAAACCTGCTCATGTAGATAACATAATGTTCTTTCCTAGAGGACCCTGAGTTGTCACCATAAAACATTGTTTAAATGCTGTCAAAATCAACTTTTTTAGGAAAAGTCAAAGACCGCTATGGATCTGAATATATAAGATGATTATGATGTTAAGAAATAATACAGTGAAAAAAAAAGCCATAGACCATTCTACTTCCCACTGTGGGTTATTTCTCAGTTCCTTCTTGGTAACTTGGTTTTCTTTTTTTTTCCTTTCTGCTGATGTCAGAATCTCAGACTGTCCTGGTAGCTGCCTCTTACTGTTCTCGTCTTTGCTACCTCCCTAACTACCACCCTGGATATATAGAGTCTTTGTAGTTTCCCAAAAGAAAAAGAAAAGAAAATGTAAAGTTTTTTTTTCTTTTTCTTCTTTTCTTTTTTTTCTTTTTGCACCACATAAGACATCTAAAACCTCCCAATCTGTCATCCAAATTGTAAACCTGGTGAAATCCTATCCGCTTTTTAACCCTCTTACAAAACAAAGGCATACCTCATTTTATTGTTTTTCACTTTTTTGTGTTTCACCGATATTGCATTACTTTACAAATTGAAAGTTTATGGCAGCTCTGTATCAAGCAAGTCTAGTAGCACCAATTTTCCAACAGCCTGTCATCACCTTGTGTCTTTGAGTAAAATTCTTGTACTTCTTTTAGTATTTCAAACTTTTTCATTATCATTATACGTTTATGGTGATCTGTGATCAGTGATTTTTGATGTCAATATTGTAATCATTTGGCGGGGGCATCACAAACTGTGCTCATGTAAAAAAGTGAACTTTGTCAATAATGTTGTGTATGTTCTAACTGCTCCACCAATCGGCAGTTCCTCCATTTCTCTCCCATACCTGAGGCCTCCCTATTTCCTGAAACACAACAGTAATGAAATTAGGCCAATTGGTGACTCTACAATGTCCTCCAAGTGTTCAAAGTGAAAAGAAGAGTCACATATCTCATTCTTAATCAAAAGCTAGAAACAAGCCTAGTAAGGAAGGTATTTCAAACACCCACGCAGGACAAAAACTAGGCCTTCCAGTCCAATCAGTTGGCCAAGGTGTGAATGCAAAGGAAAAACTCTTGAAGGAAACTAAAAGTGCTACACCAATGAAGGTACAAGTGAAAGAAAGCAAAATAACCTTATTGCTGATATGGAGAAAGTTTGAGTGGTCTGGATAAAAGATCAAACCAGCCAAAGCATTCCTTAAAACAAAACAATCTAATCCAGAGCAAGGCCCTGGTTGTCTTCAATTCTACGAAGACTAGGAGGTCAGGAAGTTGCAGAAGAAAATTTTGAAGCTAGCAGAGACTGATTTGTGAGGTTTAAAGAAAGAAGCTATCGACACAACATAAAAGTGCAGGGTGAAGCAGCAAGTCTTGATGTAGAAGCAACAACAAGTTATCCAGAAGATCTAGCTAAGATTATTGATTAAGGAGGCTACACTAAATAGCAGATTTTCAATGTTGATGAAACAGTCTTCTATTGAAAGAAAGATACCAACTAGGACTTTTATAACTAGAGAGGAGGGGTCAATGCCTGTCTTCAAATGACTAACTGACTCTCTTGTTAGGGGCTAATGCATCTGGCGATTTTAAGTCAATGCCAACGTTCATTTACCATGTCAAAAATCCTAAGGCTGCTAGGAATTATACTAATTCCACTCTGCCTGTGCTCTATCAATGGAATAACAAATCCTGGATGACAGGACATCTGTTTGCCACATGGTTTCCTGAATATTTTGTCCTACTGTTGAGATCTACTGCTCAAAAAAAAAAAAAAATCCTTTCAAACTATTACTGCTAATTGATAATGCACCAAGAGCTCTGATGGAGATGCAGAGGGATATTTATTTTGTTTTTATGTCTGATAACACAGAATCTATTCTGTAATCTATTCTGCAAAATTATCAGAAATAATTTTGACTTTAAAGTCTCATTATTTAAGAAATACATTTTGTAAAGCTATAGCTGCCGTAGGTAGTAATTTTCTTGATGGATCTAAGCAAACTACAATGAAAACTTTCTGGAAATAGTTTATCATTCTAGATGCCATTAAGAATATTCATTATTCGTGGAAGAAGATCAAAATATCAGCATTAACAGAACTTTGGAAGAAGGTGATTCCAATCTTCATGCATGACTTTGAGGAGTTTAAGTCTTCAGCTGGAAGAAGTAACTGTAGATGTACTGGAAATAAACAGAATGCTAGCATTAGAAACGGAGCCTGAAGATATGACTGAATTGGTGCCATTTCATGGTAAAACTTTAATAGATGAGGTGTTGCTTCTCATGAATGAGCAAATACATTGTCTAAGATGGAAACTGCTCCTGGTGAAATTGCTGTGAATAGTGTCGAAATGAAAGCAAAGGATTTAGAAGGTTATATAGTGTTAGTTGATAAAGCAGTGGCACAGTTTGAGAGGACTGACACCAGTTTTGGAAGATGTTCTACAGTGAGTAAAATGCTATCAAACAGCATCACATGCAACAGGGAAAATTTTTGTGACAAGGAAGAATCAACTGATGTGGCAAACTTTATTGTTGTCTTATTTCAAGAAATTGCCACAACCATCTCCAGCTTTAGCAACGACCACCCTGATCAGTCAGTGGCCATCCACAGTGAGGCAAGACCCTCTACCAGCAAAACAAATGCAACATGCTAAAGGCTCAGGTGATTGTTAGAACTTTTGTAGAAATAAAGTATTTTTTAACTAACGTGTGTACACTGTTTTACACAAACTGCTATTGCACACTTAGTAGACTATATATAGATTTAATAGACTTATGATATTTATAAACACCAAAAAAGAAAAAAATCTGTGTGACTTGCTTTACTATAATATATGCTTTATTGTGGTGATCTGGAACTGAACCTGCAATCTAAGGTATGCCTATGTTAATTATCTGTGAAGCCTTTTGTCATCACTATTAACCATTACTATTACACCTTGCTATAATAATTGTGTTATTAAACAAAAATTTGTTTCAATGCCTGCCTTCCCTTTGTACTATAAGCATTTTGAAAACTGAGGTTATAACTTATCTATGGTAATAATTCCAGGACAAACATAATACACAAAGTAGATGCTAAGTTTATACTTGTTGCAGACGAGTTTCAAAGCAAACACTAAGTTTTCCACTTTTAAAATCCCTTAAAGAAAATACCACATTTAACTTATGTTCTATAGATAGTTAATGCCTATAACCTCAAGGAGACAATTTTCAAACAATAAAATTATCATATAAAGATGAGTTAAAATGGTTTTGCAATCTAACCAGGGTTTTGTAAATCTATACCCTAAAGTAAAATGAAAGCTTTCTGTAGCTTCTGACTTCTGAATTTAGTTATTAGGATGAGTCTCATGATTCTTCCAGATCAATGTTTGAAATGGATCTCATTATTCTCCCACTGACTCTACTACTCCTTCTACAATTCTAACCAAGTCTGTTTTCAGTACTTGGCTGGCTGAGGTAAAGAATGGAGAATAATTGGTGACCACTTATTTTAAATGGACAGTTTGCATCTGGGGACATTTTGTGATGACAGTCCTTTTACTAGGACTCAGTACCTCACATCAAAAGCACATGTAAAAATAATCACATCAATTCATAATAACAACTAAGTGGATGTCTTAACACTTTTCCAAATTATTCAGTAAGACAAAGACATGAGAAATCACAATACACATAATAGCACAATCGTAATAAACCTCTCTCATTGTGCCAATCATTGTGTCATGCACTGCATACATCATCTCTGATGCTTACAAAGCCTTTCGCTATGGGCATTATTACCCTTGTTTTACAAATTTAAAAAAACTAGGGTTCAGCATCAGCCAGTGTGATATTCTAAGTCTGAATGACAAGATGTGGCAGAACAATGAAAACTGTTTTGTTTTATTGCAGAAGTGAGGTTCAGTATTTTTTTTAATTTTTTTTTTTTTTTTTTTTTTTTTTTTGCCTTTTAGGTCAATGCACAGAAAGAAATCTGTCTCCTGACTTTAGGACAATGGCACGATTGGTGGCCACAGTCCAAGGATGGTTGCTGGTGAGCAGTTACAGATGCCCCGAGACACAGCAGGCGTGAGTAATTGGGTTTATAATGGGCAGCGACTCTGGGGTTCACTGCAAGCTAGCACTGGTGTTTTCTGGATGACCTTTGTGAGTTGTACCAGGAGGTTTCCTTTTTTAATGCTGCTGCTAGATGTCATTAGTAGCAATGGCTGTGAATTTTGTCTTGTCACTTGCACTAACCTCAGAAGAGAATTTTCTAAGGGACCTATATCAGAGAAGGTCACTAGCTCTTTCTGTCATCAAACTACTGGCCTGTGATTAGATAAGGCAGGTGGGACGTCAACGGAATGGTAAACTGTAGACTTGGGGGAACACAGTAGAGTTAAATTAGAATTAGGCTTCAAGACCAGGAAATCGAAACCACCATTGATCAGAAGGACAAATAAGTGGGGGCCAGGAATAGGGAAGGGGGGGTGTTATTTTGTTCTCCTTTTCCATCAGAAAGACAAATTAAATTTTACAGTGTTGCACCAAATACTTTTAGGTATTGATTTTGAAATCTATGCTTGACATTTAAGATAACAGAAAAGATATAGGAAAAGGGATGGGGATGTCGCTGAGGTATATGGTTAAGATGATTGTCTTTTATCAATAGTGATTTTAAAGATCTCCATAAAAGTGGGACACAATGTGGATATTAAAACAATTTCTGCTTTTGGTCTTATGTGCATTATCTCAAATATTCTTCTCGAAAATCACAGTGGATCTCACAAGGCATTAGTTCTTCATTGAGACTGTGAGATTGCGGCTCACGGAAAGGGAAAAAATTTACAGCCCTAGAATTGATGCTGTCAGAGCTCCCTCTACTGCCTCTCCTTAATTCCAAAACCACATAGCCGTGTTCTGGTGAAAGCTGACAAACTGATCCAGGGGTGAAGTGATTATGGGATTTTCCTGATGCCATTAAAGTAAGAAAATATGTGGAAAGAAGTGCTGCAATGGTAAGGCACTTTTCATGGAGCACATATCATACTGATTAGAGAAGAGGAGGCTGGAAGAAGTGCTAATGCCTCATAGGCTTAAGGATCTTCATTGTTAAAATTATGCTTCATGTTTAGAAAGAAGTCACTACTAAATATGTGTGCCTTTAAAAATCTTACCAATTTAAGCAACTGTATTGCTGGCATTTTAATCTCTTTGAAGGACTGCTAAAGATGACAGACTTTCATATGTTTCTAACATTTGAGAAAATCATGAACAAAATTTCCAAAATGCTACCCTTTTATAGCACACTAGAGGAGAAATACATCTGTCATTCATTTTTATCTATTTGATGATAGGGCTACGTTCGGAGAAATGCATCTTTAGACAGTTTCATTCTTGTGTGAATATCACAAGGTATACTTACACAACCTAGGTCACTTCAGCTATGTGGTATAGTCTGTTGTTCCTAGGCTATACTTCTGTAAGCATGTTACTGTATCGAATACGGTAGGCAACTGTGGCACAATGGTAAGTATTTGTGTGTCTAAACATATCTAAAAATAGAAAAGGTGCAGTAAAATTATGGTGGTATAATCTTATGGGACCGCCATCATGTATGTCATTTGTTGTTAACCAATACATCCTTATGGGCCCGGCGCGGTGGCTCACAGCTGTAATCCCAACACTTTGAGAGGCTGAAGCGGGCAGATCACTTGAGGTCAGGAGTTCGAGACCAGTCTGGCCAATATGGTGAAATCCCGTCTCTACTAAAAATACAAAAATTAGCCAGGCGTGGTGGCGGGCACCTGTAATCCCAGCTACTAGGGAGGCTGAGGCAGGAGAATGTCATGAACCCGGGAAGTGGAGCTTGCTGTGAGCTGAGATCATGCCATTGCACTCCAGCCTGGGCATCACAGAGAGACTCCTCAAAATTACAAAAAACAAAACAAACAAACAAAATCCTTAGGTAGCACTTAATCGTATAGCGTTATGGTGAGCCCTACTATGTGACAAGCTCCTTAAGATTGGATTCAAATGTTATCTTTCTGGTAATTTTGTCTTCACAGCTTCCTTGTCTTTCCAGCAAAACTTATTTTCAAACAAAGTTCCCACTGCCCACAATTTAAAACCTTAAATAGTATGTAACTAAATGTATTCTACTGACTGCAGTCTTTCAAAGGGCATTCCAGAAAGAAAGACCAGTGTTCATAGGATCCGAGCCAGGAAACCCTACGTAGGAAGGACCTGGACATGATCAGGAACTGTTCAGTTTGCCTGAAGCACCAAAAGAGAGGTGATGAGGAATGAGACACTGCTGAAGAAGTGTACAGGCCATGATTGGTACTGGGCCACAAAGTCTATGCTAATCTTTAAATAGCAGTGTAAGGCAAAGGAAAAGTTTTAAGTATAGATATGCTGAAATGGGAAACAATGGAACTGGTGTTTTTAAGATTCGTTAGCCGTTGTCAAGAGAAGGAGGTGCAGAAAAAAGTAGTTGAAAGCTCTAAATAATGTTTCTCAGCCAGGCGGAGTGCCTTACTCTCCTAATCTCAGGGATTTGGGAGGCTGGGGTGAGAAGATCGGTTGAGCTTACAAGTTAAAAAACAGCTCAAAAAACATAGCAATACCCGTCTCTACAAGAAAATTAAAAATAAAAAAAAATTAGCCAGAAATGCTGGTGTGTGCCTGTAGTCCCAGTGACTTCAGAGGCTGTGGTGGGAGGATTGCTTGAGACTAGAAGTTCTAGACTGCCGTGAGCTAGGATTGTGCCACTGCACTCTAGCCTAGGTGATGGAGCAAGACCCGTCTCTAAAATAAATACATACATAAATGAATTAAATAAAATAAATAATATTTCCTATCTTCAAGACACTTTCAGTATGATATGTTAGAGGTGACATGTAAAGCATATTAAATAAAGTATTTTATTTATTTATATATTTTTTGAGATGGAGACTTGCTCTGTTACCAGGCTGGCCTGCAGTGGCGCAATCTCGGCTCACTATAACCTCCACCTCCTGGGTTCAAGCAGTTACCCAGCCTCAGCCTCCCGAGTAGCTGGGACTACAGGTACGTGCCACCATACCTGGCTACTTTTTTTTTGTATTTTAGTAGAGACAGATTTCACCATGTTGGCCAGGATGGTCTCTATTTCCTGACCTCGTGATCCGCCCGGTTTGGCCTCTCATTTACTGGCGCCCTGCCCAGTAAATAAAGTATTATGTAATGTAACTTTTAATTACACTTTTAACTTTGAAGTAGTTGTAGATTGGTGTGCTTTTATAAGAAGTAATACAGAAAGATCTCACATATGGTTCACACAGTTTCCCCCAATAAAAATCTCTTATAAAACTGTAATACAATAATATCACAACCAATATAGTGCTATTTGTACACTCAGGATACTGAGCATTTCCATCACTGCAAAGATCCCCTATATTTCCTTCCTAAAACTGAACTCCTTCCCTCCTGCCCAGTATCTTCTTTAAGTCCTAGCCACTAGGTCTCTTCTTCATCTCTGTAAATTTGTCATTGCTATAATGTTACATGAATGAAATAATACAGTATATAGCCTTTTGGAATTAACTCTTCTTCACTAAGCCTAATACTCTGGAGATCCATCTTGATTATTGCATATATCAATAGTATGATCTTTAAAAAATTGCTGACTAGCATTTAATGATATGGATGTACAATAGTTAATGTCAGCTTTCATTCATTGAAGGATATCTGGGCTGTTTCCAATTTGGGACTCTTACCAATAAAGGTGCTATAAGCATCCATGCAAAAGTTTCATGTTAACATAAGTTTTCCTTTATTTGGGGTAAAGGGTGAAGAGTACAATTGTTTGGTCTTGTGGTAGTTGTATTTTAAAGTATTTTAAAAATATATTTTCCAGTGTTTCCATGTTCTTTTAAGTTCCCATAAGGAAAATATGAATGGATCAGTTTCTGTGTACCCCCACCAGCATTTGCTGTTTGTCTGTCTATTATCTGTCTATCTCCAAAAAATATGAATGGATCAGTTTCTGTGTACCCCCACCAGCATTTGCTGTTTGTCTGTCTATTGTTTGCCTATCTGTCTGTCTGTCTATCTATCTATCTATCTATCTATCTATCTATCTATCTTCTCTCAATCATCTTTCTTCTATCATCTATCTACCTAACATTTTATCTTCTATCATCTATCTATCTTCTATCTATTATCTATCTATCTTCTGTCTATCTATCTATCTATCTTCATCTTACCACCATTTTAATAGATGTTTGATTATGGCTTGTGCGATTTTCATCTGCATTCCCCTTATGGGTAATAATATAGAACTTCTTTTCAGGTGATTATTCGTCTTTGGTGAAATGTGCTTTAAATCCTTTGACTATTTTCTAACCGAATTTTTTAAAATGTTGAGTTTTGAGAGGTATTTCGATAGCCTAGAGACTAGTTCTTTGATGGAGGTATAGTTTATACATTTTTCTTCCAGTCTGTAGCTTGTCTTTTCATCCTATTGCCAGAGTCCTCACAGAGTAAAATGTACTGATTTTGTTGAAGTAGAATTTATCAATTTTCCATGGTATGGATTGTGGTTTTGGTACCCAGTCAATGAACCCCAACCTTACCTCTTCCATAGCCCTTGATCCCAAAGATTTTCTTCTGGGTTTTTTTGAATAATTTTTTTGTATTGTTTTTTAAATTAACTCTAGAATCTATTTTTTAAAATTTTTATATAAGATGTAAAACTTAGATTGAGGTTTATTATTGCCTATGGAGTTTCAATTGCTCCAGCACCATTGATTTAAAAGTTATCTCTACTGCATTTAATTGTTTTTTACATTTTTGCCAAAAATCATATGTACATATTTGTGTGGTGTTAGTTTTTGACCCTCTATTCTGTTCCCTTCAACGATATGTCTTTTCCTCCAATAATACCACAGAGTCTTGATTACTATAGCAATTTAATAAGTGTTGAAATGAGGTAGACCTTTTCTCTCTCATTTTACTCTTATTTTTCAAAATTGTTTTAGCTATTCTAGATTAGTTCCCTTTTCCTATGTATTTTAGAATAATCTTGCCTATATTTCTAAAAA